TCAGACAAATAAATAAAACTGGACCTGCAAGAATTCAGTTAAGACCTTCTGGTCAGACAGATATTTACAAATAACAAAGTGCTGAGTGATAAGCAACTTAACCAGGATGTTTAGCTACTGCATGATGGAAGTGAAGCACCAATAAAATGTTAGGCTGCATGCAGAAAAAGGACCCATAACTACAAAACCCCTTCCTGTAAAGATCTTTCTATACGCCTGTAAGCGGGTTAGGTATTTAACTCCATGCAAGTCTATTTCATGATAATACATTTATCTCTTGTCTTTGTATTATTTAATTCCTTCAGAGTAAGGAATGTTTTTCATTATGTTTGTCGTTCACAAGGAGGTTTCACTTCTAACTAGGACTTCAACAGCTATTATTTTAGAGTAACATGAGATTCCCATGGCTGTTTCAGCTTCCGCATATTACAGTGGAGCATAAACTACTACAGTTACGTTAAAAATCTCTCCGTTAAAGCCTTATGTAAGTGGTTCAAAAGTGATGTGCACCCTTAAACGGCCTTACCAGTGTCCCCTATCATTCTGCTGAATAACATCGGCTGTTCTATGGAGGGATGCTTGAGCAAGGGGCTACTGAAATACAGCTCTCAGAGCAGCATGCGGAGCACTTCATATCATGAGCTTTAAGGGTTCAGATGTCATCTGGTGGATTTTATGAGAATGCATCATAGAAAGCAACACTGAATAGCTTGTGCCATTACAATACACCCTTTACTGGACATGATAGCTATGGAATGTGATAAAATTGCACTCACCTTCATAAGATCAGTGGAGACCATAGTAAACATGTAAAGCTGATTTTTATTTGTGTTAACGACCATCATTTCCTCAGAGGGGCTGAAGCATATACATATAATGTCCTGTCTGCCTGACTGTTTTGGCTCACTGGTCAACAGGTCCTGAGGAAGCTGCACAAGAAATGCATCCCATGGGATATTCCAGGTCTCCATGTTTTAGTAGTAGGCAAGCACACACACATAAACTTTTGCTGTAATGCTACTCTAATAAGCATATACATAATATCAGGAAGACAACTTGGACATTTAATAGTACATAACTACTGCAAGACTGGGAATAGGGGACAAGATAACCTAACTGTATCTATGGCATTACAGCTGAAAAAACTGTCAGAGCACATTTCAGCAGTAATCTTAAGGACTGCATTAAACAAAAATGAAAATGGTAGCAGAAAAACATCAAGAAAAAAACCTAGCGAGTGTCAGAATGAAAACTGCCTGAAAATTGTGATCTCAGAATAACAGTTCTTTGCAGTATATCATTCAGGTTGATAACAGGCTTATTACAGGGTCTCGTGCATAGAGAAGATCTGACCTTTTAGGCCCAGAGTATGAAGGCTTGACCAGGTCATCAGAGTTAAATATTCTTATCCAGAGATTGTAGCTTGCTATAGAACAGTTAGAAATCTTACTAGATTGCTTAAGAGTGCACAAGTCTCATGACAGCTATAATAAGTATCTGAGGGGAGAAAAGCTTTGCCTTGGAAAAAAACAAGCAGCCTAGTTCTTCAAAACTGATGTAGACTACTTCTTAACTCCAAAAGTCTCCATAAATACAAGTTTCTTAAAGGTTTCCTGAAGTTTAGCAGCCTCAAAGCACATTTTACATGTGGGAACATGCAGAGCTACCTTGCAAAAGGACATCTGTCACTGACTTTCAGTGTGACCTCTGGCAACTCCCTTCCTTTTGACACCACCAGGACAGTTAGCTAATGCTTACAATGTAATTTAGAGATGTGCTAAAAATTATTCTTAATAACTGAATCGGAAGCGCCTCCCACCCCCAACAGGCCTCTGCTGCATAATTGCTTGGAAAAGCTTTTTTCTCCCTACCCAGATTTCCTGACTCTCTTTGTAGACTTCCTTTTCCTTGGTCTTCTCAAACAGAAGAACAACTCCTGGGCTAGATGAACATGCAAAGCCTTTGGAATAAGCTGCAACTGCAGATATTTGAGGCAAAGAATCCTGTTGTGAACCATTATCTTCAGAGGCCAGTCTACAAGAGACATCAGAAGAACTGCAAGCAGGAAATACATAAAGACTTAAGAATAAAGAAGGACAAAATAAAAAATGTTTATCAGCAGCAATCAAAATATTATAACCCATTAATAAACTGGACAAGAAGGAAATAAGTGAATGGCTTGCAACTAATCTGCATGCACAAGCATGAAACTATTAGTAATAGTATTTAACAAAGATATACCTTTCGTATTCTTTTGTTGTTCTGTCTTCTTCTAGTTCACTGGGTGTTTTTTTGTACTCTACACTTGTCTCCCAGTGCAGCTCTCCAGTTTCAAACAAGAGAAGTTTGCCTGTATCAGTGCCACAGATAACTTCCTCCTCAGACAGCCAGGCATGGCACAAGTAGTTTTGTGGCTCTATCTTTTGTAAATTCATCTGCTGCAAAGTTCCTTCACTGTACTTAAAAAGTTTAAAAAAGCCATTTCCAGTGATACAAACCTGTGCATTGTCTTGAGGACTAAAGCTCACCTATTGAACAAAAGAGAGAAATTATTTTATAGAACTACGTTCATAAATAAGCAAATATTATACCTGTTCTGAAGACTTTCAATACCAGATACAGGAAAACGAACAAGGGAAGAAGGTTCATAGGAACAAACAGGAATACAGAAGAGACTAAGAAATAACCATCATAACTACATATTGCAGTTTCCCCCCTTTCGAAACTGTGTATATCAATTTTACATGATGCTACAAATACATTAACTCTGTTAAGCTAAGACGCTATCTGAATCACAATGCAATACCAAAGAGAAAGTTGTCTCTGCCCTTCAGGATTAAATGACAAAAGTAAGGCCAAAATACATCTTTACTGCTGATTAGCAAGTTTTTCAGGAAGCAAGCTTCCTGAAAAGTGGGACTTTTCATTCTTAAAGGCCAGGAATAAATTCTGTATTTCTGCATTTCATGCAAACCTTGTCCATTATGCGTATTAATTCACATAATTAGGTGTTTATTGGTGAAAACAGTGGAATAGCCATCTCAATACCCAACATGAAGGCTAGCAGGGGTAGTTAGACCTCATTTTTCATGCTTAATGGGACTTCAGCCAGCAGTTGTCTTTACAGTCATTCTCTTTTTAGGAATTGAGCTCATGAAGTCAGTAGTTCACCCAATCTCTGCTTGTAGCTGTACCTCAGAAAAAACGGCAGCTAGGGTCCAACCAACCTATGTACTGAAAGCCTCTTACCTCCCTGCAAGAAAGATACTGAAAAAGGGCACCCAAAGCAGGATGCAGGAATTGTTTGAGTGCCATCAGCCTGCTCCTAGCCACTCTTCCTGGGCTACTCCTCTGACCTGCACATAGAACAGACTGCAGGAAGGAAAAGGTGCACGAGCATGCCGAGAGGGTCCAAAATGTGCGTTACGGGTACTGAGCACAGCCAATATATGTAATGAGTGTTTCTGCAGAGACACAGGGAACACATTGCACATGCACTGGCCACTTGAATTGGCCACATACCATAGATCTCATATGATGTAAGAGAATCTCATGAGAATGTCCATAATGGGTCAGGGCAAAAATTCATTCAGCACAGTGTCCTATTGCAGCTGATGCCAAGAAAGACCATAGAAACTGTACATAACCTACAGCGTGGAGCCCTCTCCTCCCTTTCTTGGCCTGGATAGAAGCCATGTGGCCACAGGAAAACGCACCTGCCCCCATATCCTGCAGATTGAATTTATGTGCTACCTGGCACCCAGTACTTGTTGAACTATGTCCTTTTATCCACCTTTTTGAAGTAGTGCAATAGGCTCCCAAAGATCCAGTCATTTGTGAATCCAAATGTTAAAAATGAGCCGCAGAGACGCTGGCCCAGCTCAGTTTTGGAGGCAGGCGTCCCTGGGGGAGCTGAACGGGCCTGGGGCTGGCATGGTGGGCACGGAGCCCGTGAGGGCTGTGGCCATTACCTGGCAGATGCTGTTGGCCGGGGCCGCGATGCGGACCGCCACCATCAGCCGCTGCTTCTCCCCGAGGCCGAGGGTGGGGTGCCCCCCGGG